AATTTCTTATTGGAATGGTACGAATTTGCCTCCCATCCAGCTGTGTGTCAGAATTCTTTTATAAAGATTCATTTTTAGTTAATTTGTATGAGTGTGCACCTGCATGTATGTGTGTGTGCCACATGTGTGTCAGTGCACAAGGAGGCCAAAAGAGGGCACCAGATCCCCTGGAACTGGCATGGATGTTTTTGAGCTGCCATGTTGGTTCTGGGTCTTGAATTCTGGTTTTCTGAAGGGGTCCAAGGGCTCTTAACTGAGCCATTTCTCCTGCCTATGTATCACAACTCATCTCTAATATCCTTTCAAACACAGTGTCTTCAAACTTTTACTCTTTAACCACCACCACCACCAACAACAACAACAAAAAGTCGAAACATGGCTTAAACCATTTTTGCAAGGCTGACTGACATGCCACATCCTGTCATGTGACTGAGTGGTGTGTCTGCATCTCAGTGAGCCATTTGTTGATATTCTTTGCCTATATGTCTATTTTATTACTGGTATATAAGCTTTCTATGTATTAGGTGAAATTATTGTGTTATTCATGGTACATAATAAATAGTTTTGAGGGTTTTCTTCACCAAGTTTCCTCTATTTATTTTCTCTTTGCTTACAATGGTTTCCATCATGCCCATTTAAAAAGTGAAGAAAATTGGTGAAGCTCAATTTGCCAAATTATGGTCTCTTGAGTTTTGTGTTACGGTTAATGCAGAGAAATTGTCCCTGCAATTTCTTTTGGCATTTTTATGGTTTTGGTTTTAATGTTTAACTCTCTGATTTATTGGGAATTTATTCTGGAATAATGGATGGAGGGTGGGTGAACTAGTTTTTTCCAGATGGTTAGCCAGTTATCCAAAATTTGATAAAAAAAAAAATAGATTTACCCTTCCCCACTGATTTGAGTTTAGGTGAACATTTTCAATGTTGAGAGAAGCAACCGTGTCAAATTAACAAACAAACAAACAATGTTATCCATTTCCACTTCCTGTCTTCTCAGTCATTTCCTCACCTATATCACTTTATCTCTTTAATGTCTTGCCAATCTGGTAAGCCACTCATGGTGCTTTGCTGCTGTTTAATGTCAGTAGGGAGAACACAGGGTGGGGGTTAGGACTGGAGGCTGGGAAGTGGCCACCGAACAGAGAAGTTTTGTAAATCTGCCCCTGGACAGTACAGGTTAATGGTAACAAAAATTGGTCCCAAAAAGGGAATTGATTATCTGTTTGGTCAGACTATTGAAGATCCATAGAAACTTCTGGCTTTTAGGGGAAAGACACAGGGAAACCAGCATCTCTAAGTATCCGAGATATTCAAAGATAGTGTATAAAGGTGTTTATGGGGCACATGGACCCTTGGGTCTGGTCTATTCACCGTCAGGGGAGTCTCCCCAAAATATCTCTCCCATCTCCACAGGTCTCCTTCCCATCCCATCATCCTTCATAGCTGGGTGACACTGATCTCCAGTAGTTCCTCCCATGCACTTAGGCCTCCCTCCAGCCTAGTTCCTACTCTGAGATATCTTTTAAATGTTAAATTTTGGTCTCGTGTGGGTTTCCTCTCTAGAACTCTTCTATGTTTTCTGTACTCAGGTTGAAGTCCAAAGTTCCTATCATGTCCTGCCTCCCTTGGCTTTATCCCTACCATGCCGACTACTTGCAGCTTTGTGAGACTCTGTCAAGTGAACTTCATCCCTGAATAAATGGCACCAGCTTGCTTTTTCTCACCACAGGGCTTTTGTATTTGTGTGCCTTAAGGTAGAGATGCTCTGCCCATTTCTGCCCCTAGGATATACATACTTCTCCCATCTACTCTATCCCCTTGGAGACTCGTTCAGAAGACTTCCCTGCTTCATATACCTCCCTTTCTTGGTACCTCATAACCCCCCATTAATTAACACAATTATAATTATTTAGTTATTTTGATCCTTTCTATTTTCTGCCCCTGTCCCTCAGTCCTAAGCTTCACACTGCCTTATCCCCTGTGGCTTTTGGAATGCCTGGCATAAAGCTGGCATTTCAAAAACATTTTCCACTGATGAATGAGTGAGGTTTTGCAATAAAGCAATGAGACTGATGCCAGTGTATCATCAACAAATAGCAATGTTTGTCCCTCCCTGCTGGGAATGCCAGCCCATCCTAGCTGAACTGAAATCTTCTCTTTCTTTAAGGCCCTCCCCATGGTAATTGCTACTTCTCCTGGAAGGCATTTATCTCTCCTCTAGCCCTGTCTTCTCTCTTCCTTCTCCCACCCCCACAGCACCAGCTGACAGGAGAAGAATGGAAGCCGGAGAGAAATTAATGCACGGCACTGTAGTTGTAGTCTCCTTTCCCCCCCAAACCACGGGGAGCTATTCTTTCTTTCCATTTCTTTCTACTTTTCCTTTTGAATATACAGCTCCATCCCCTCTAATTTGATTTGAGCGCTCCCTTAGGAGCTGTCACGGAATCAATTAGATCTGTAGGATTTTACAACTTGAGGTCACCCAGTGTGATTCCTCATTTTACAGATGAGGAAACTGAGGCCCAGAGAGGTTAATGTCTGAGACGATTACCTCTGTTGGGTCTTACAACGCTAATCAGCGTCATTTTTGAAGATGGATGTTCTCAATATCCCAGCTCTGCGGAGTGAAGTCCTCATTCTGTTTATCTCTGGACAGTCAGTGGTAATGCCTGGTAGGTAGGACTTCCTTTCCTAGGCAGAGCTGCATTAGAGTCGGGTGGCCAGAGGCTCTGGCTGTGACTAGACCACTGTGCTGAATGGGGTCACGTGCTTCACCTGGGTATCAACCAAAGTGCTCCAGCGTTTATGCTGAGACCCTGCTGGAACAATGGATCATGAGACCTGCTGGGTTTAAACAGTTCTAGAACACGGAAAGAAAGCTGCCTGTCCTTCCTTCCAAAACCATGTCAGGTCAGCAGGGGAAATGTCTCTGGTGATGCCGGGAGGGATGGAGGCCTGAAAGCAATCTCAAATGCTGCCAGCAACTTCTCCCTCATCCATTTGCTTTCTGGTTTCCAAAACCCAGTCAAGCAGAACAAAACTTCCACAAACACATTTAAATAGAACATAACACAGTCTCTAAGAAAGGGAAAAAAGTAGCTCCTCTATATCTAAAGATCAATAAGAAATTAAGCAAAGCCCAGGTGAGGTTTGACAGCATGGATTTATACTCCACATGAGCTATGGAGCAGAGCTTTGGCCCAGGCATATCCTCATGTATGCACAGTATCTGTTCTGGTGCTGGGTCTAGGTGCTGAATGTCCCTTATATGCTGTGATCCTTTAGAGACCTACCAGCCACTGGTGGGGTGGGATGCTTCAGTGTGTCTACATTCTTACGGATGGAGAAAGAGTAGAGCAAGTGCCTGGATTGGGTACGCTGTACAGCCTGGGTAGGAGGAGCTGGGAGCTAGGAGGTTTTCTAGAGTTGCAGTTATTCCAGCAAAGACCAGAAAGACATCCTAGGTCAAATGCATAAAGATGGAGCTTGAAGGTGGAAGCCGCTTGCAACTTTGGCAACATTAAAGTCTTGGTGTTACAAGTTGAGTAAGGAGGGGTGCTGGGGGCCATAGAGTGATTACAAGGAGCTAGGGATGTATTTGAGTTAGGGGAGTGCTTGCTTAGCCTCCGCAAAGCCTAGAATTCAACCCCCAGCACTACCCAAACAGCTGTGGTTCAACCCCCAGCACTACCTAAACAAACAGCTGTGGTAGTAGTTGTCTGTAATACATTTGGGGAGGTAGCAGCAGCAGTAGCTACATAGCAAATTCAAGAGCCGCCTATGCTGTGGTTGGGGGGGGGAGAGGGAGGAAGTTCAAATCAAATGACAGACGGGATGCTGGTTGCTTTATGGGAGAGCTGATACTTTATCTAGGCAGCAAATCAAGACGGACCTTTGGTTCCCAAGGGTTTCTGGAAGGAACTCATCAGAGACTCTGGAGCAGGAACTGGTACTCTAGGAGGGCTGAGAGAGCTCTGAAAGTCTGGATATTCGGTCAGCTCTCTAGATGTCCTCCTTTTGTCCCTTCCACCCTTGACACTGTGTGCCTTCCTTTGTAGCCCCAGGGGTAAAGACTCCTTTAGTTATCAACTTTCTCCCACCACCTGTTGCAGAAATCCCCTTCTAAAAGTTTCTAGGCTATTTAAAGCGCTATCCCTCCTACCCAGCATCTCTCATAGCCATGTGCCATGGAGGAATTGCATGATGTCTAATAAGTCCCATTGTGGGACGCGTGGAGGGTGTGAAGTAAATGTCCTATTCCCCACTCTTCCTCTGATACATAAATATTTTGAAAAAGGAGTTCTCTTTTCCAATATGAATCATGGTTGTCTCTCCCGGGGTAAGCAGCGGTCCTTCCTTTCTAAGTACCGTCCTCCCACCTTCTCCTCCACCCCATCTCAGCTTAATTTACCTTACTAGGAGTATCTCTTAGCAGCCTCCATTGTTGTACAGTCTAGCTCTTTCAAAGATATTGCTCTTCTAAATCAAACGTTTTTGAGAATCTACGTTTGTTGAGAAACAAAAGAAAAAAAGTTTTTCCTCACTTTTCCTGCTTTACACAGGTATATAAAGGAGTTTTTCCACAGTAAAGATATTAGGTTCACTGATGGGAATGTTCATTGTGGAATTCTTTTATAACTGGATCTCTGATTCATAGAGTAGGAGCTGTTGGCAGCGAAGAGTATGGTGCCTGCCCTCATTGAGGGACAATAAAGGATACGCACAGCATGAGATTGCCGGGTTTGATGAGGGGATGCTTTCTATAGTTAAATCTGTTGTATCTGGGGGGTGGGTTGTAGAGAACTGTGACTCTAGATCTCTGGGAATCTTTAAGACATAGATATGGCTGTATGACCTCATTTGTTAAGTGGAGCGGTGGGACTGGTGGGCTCTTAAGGCCCCTCCAAAGCTCTGGGATTCTCTTCTGTACTGCCTCTTTTGGTCTTCTCACTCTCTCCTTTCTGATTTTTGCATGTGCGCCTGTGGCCTGCTTGGGACAGTGGGAAGAAGTCAGTGGCTACGATGAAAACCTGAACACCATCCGTACTTACCAAGTGTGCAACGTCTTTGAACCCAACCAGAACAACTGGCTGCTCACTACTTTTATCAACAGACGGGGTGCCCATCGCATCTACACGGAGATGCGTTTCACTGTGAGGGACTGCAGCAGCCTCCCAAATGTCCCAGGCTCCTGCAAGGAGACCTTCAACTTATACTACTATGAGACTGACTCTGTCATTGCCACCAAGAAGTCAGCCTTCTGGTCTGAAGCCCCCTACCTCAAAGTGGACACCATTGCTGCAGACGAGAGCTTCTCCCAGGTGGATTTTGGGGGAAGGCTGATGAAGGTCAACACAGAAGTCAGGAGCTTTGGGCCTCTTACTCGGAATGGTTTTTACCTCGCTTTCCAGGATTATGGAGCCTGCATGTCTTTGCTTTCTGTCCGGGTCTTCTTCAAAAAGTGTCCCAGTATTGTGCAAAATTTCGCAGTGTTCCCAGAAACCATGACAGGAGCAGAGAGCACATCTCTGGTGATTGCTCGGGGCACATGCATCCCTAATGCAGAAGAAGTGGACGTGCCCATAAAACTCTACTGCAATGGGGATGGAGAGTGGATGGTGCCCATTGGACGCTGCACCTGTAAGCCTGGCTATGAGCCGGAAAATAGTGTGGTCTGCAAGGGTAAGTCTGGGGCTTCTCAGCGTCTGCTGCCATCTTACCTGGGGAGGTCAACTTCATTACTTTCTTGCTTCTAGTTCAGTGTCATTCAGGAAAAGAGAGAGCCTAGTGGCTTATTATAAATCTTAGAAGAACCTCTGTCCCCAGTGCTGGACCTGATGGTTATCAGTTGGGGACAACTATCTGTATGCTTGTGTGGAGGAAAGGATGGGAAAAATTCTGAACAGTAGAAAATTATTCAATAATCACCTATTTATATTTAGTTTGGGAACACACATTCTCTCTCTCTCTCTCTCTCTCTCTCTCTCTCTCTCTCACACACACACACACACACACACACA